CCTTGAAAAAACTGGAAAATTAAACTACGTGCACACAATGAATATCACACAAACGAAAAAAACGTTGTTCTCAAGCAAAAACTGACCATTTTAGGTGATGTACATCCACTTTTAAACCCATGGGGTCCTATATACTGTAATACTAAAACTGCGAGAAAATGAAAAAAAAAGCGAAAAAAAATGAAGTTCCAATTTCGTTCAAAAAATAAAAAATGTCCGTTTTGACGAAATCGTAGTTGTATGACTATGGGCGTCGTTAGACACTCCTCGGGGACGTGATTCCAAGGATTTCGTCTTCGTTCCACCTGTCCTCGGAGATGAAATCGGAAATGAAAATGTGAAAACACTTCGATGATTTCCCAGCCAAATCGTCCTCGGAAAATGTGAAAACACTTCGAGGATTTCCCAGCCAAATCGTCCTCGGCTCGAAAGGACCTTGTGAGGTCCTTTGGGGCCCGAGGATCCGTGTTTCACGGAGAGGAGAGGGCATGGGCGTAGAGAGACGTTACGACTGAGAATTCGGATCGTGGCGGCACCCTATTGGCTGAAAGCCTGAAGCACAACTGTTTTTCTTTTTTTTTCTCCTTTTATTTTTCTGACATTGCTCCGAGGATGAATCCTAAAATCGATGCTCCGAGGATGAGTGTAACGAAGACGACAAAAACCCTAAACTTTTCCGAGGATTCATCCTCGGAGCCCGAGGATGCCCCGCGGAGTGTCTAACGACGCCCTATGCTTCGGTTAGGCCTGAGTAGGGTAAGTGGGGCTCTGCTTAGTCCTGGTACCTGCAACTGCTGTCCGGTCAAGGTCACCCCTGCGTGGGTGATTGTCCTGAGTGGTAGACACTGACTCAGAGGTAGAGGATCCTTGAAGTAGGGGTGTGCCACTTCCACTCTGAAGAATGTGTCAGACCGGTTTCAGGGCTAAAGCGGAGGTTCTTTCTTTTTCGTCTTCTTGTTTATTCAAGATTCAGATGACAAAAATGGAGCTTTTGTTCGTTTGTTTTTTTTGTTTGTTTTTTTTAACTATACTCTGCTCTCAATTTTTCCTCACTCTACATACCTACCACTACTCCTACCTATAGGCATACGGGGAAACCCGTAGCATACCAGAGAGGCTGCCGTGTTGTCTTCTTGTTTCTTCAAGATTCAGAAGACGCGGCCACGTTTTTCTTTTGTTTTTCCGTTTTTTTTTAAAAAAAAGAAAGGCATTGCATTCTTTTTTAAACAAAGCCGGGAAACGGGCCCGGCGTCCCTTTCAAAAAAAAATAGCGGTCACAGCGCGAGGTCCCGACAACCCTGGCCAGGCTCACGCCCAGACCGCCAAGACAAAACAACAAGAAATTCCAACCAAAGACTAGACAGTGGCTACTGGAAAACGAACCCTAACAAAGAAGAAGAGAACTAACAAAAGTGCCCCATTCATCCGCAACTATAGCCAAACCCAGCAAAACCACCCTGCCACCCGTGCGGCAGGGGACTGTACCTACAGACCCCCAACTGCAGATACATACCCCGCAAAACCCACCCACCTCCTCGCGATTCAGAGCGGATTGCACCACCAAAAAAAAACTTCACTCACTGTACACCAAAAACAGCAACTCCCACCACGATGGTGTTGTTGCAAACCAGTAGAAATACCCTACCACCCGCGCGGCAGGGGCCGAGGCCCCGTGAAACCCACCCACCTCCTCGCGATTTTAGGTGTTTCACTCCCCCATTCTGCATCACTCCCTAATGGAAGCCTCTCCGCCCTCCATGAAGAAGCCCTTGCAGAGTGATGCTCACCAATCTATGTCAAAAAAAATCGGATGATAGCAGAACCTGAGACCGCTGATAAGAGGACAAACGCCTATCGCATCTTCAATAATGAGCAGAAATGCCCTACCTCCCGAGCGGCACGTTTTTTTTTGTGTGTGTGTGTTCTTGTGCTGTATCCGACCGATTTCAGCGCTAAAGCATTTTTTATTTATTATTATTTTTTTTTATCTTCTTGTTTCTTCAAGAGTCAGAAGACGAAAAAGGAGAGGTTTTTTTTTTTTGTCTTCTTGTTTCATAAAGATTCAGAAGATGCGGCCACTTTTCTTTTTTTTTGTCTTCTTGTGCTGATGTCAATGCGCATTGCGGTCTGAGGTTGCAGGTTCAAAACTCTGCACACTGCACGGAGACACCGGTGTGTGTTCACCTACTGCACGGTCACTTGCATAGTACCCCCTTGGGCTGATGCAGGTAACCTACTACAGACACTGCCTGCGCATCACCCAAGGGATCGTCCATGGTGTTGTTGGTTCTGGATTACGACTGGCTTGCTTGTACACTTGGTCCATGGGGTTGTCTGGATGCTTGCACACTTGTCCCTTACTCGAGCTCGGCGTAGCACACGTTGTGACCCTGGCTCAGTTGGTTAACACTGGTTACTGATAAGCATGAGGTTCGGGGTTCGAGGTTTGATACCAAAAAAACGAGTTCACGAATAAACATTGTGGGGATGCGGACTAGGGCTGTGGACGGTTGATCACGTGGTATTGGTTACCTTAGGGCTCAGCTTTGGGGGGCCATGGGTTCAAGGTGGGATTTGATCGGGGACGGGGGGGGGGGGGGGGGGGGTTGGACATTATCCCTACTGGAGAGTTGGGGCCCCTGCCGTAGTGGATGTCTTAGGGATCCTCTGGGTTGACGTAGAGCTGGGATAGGCCCAGGTGGAGGATATCGTTGG